GCCACCTGGGGCGATACCTGACATGCTTGCCCCGAGCTGGCACCGCGTGTTTCCGCGTGCCCGGGCCTCCCAAGGGCATCTCCAACATGGTGGTCCCCAGCTGGAACCACGTGTCTTCGTGTGCCCAAGCCACATGGGGCGACCTGACATGTTTGCCTCGAGCTGGCACCGCGTGTTTCCGCGTGCCCAGGCCGTCCAGGGGGTATCTAACATGGTGGTCCCCAGCTGGAACCACGTGTCTTCGTGTGCCCAAGCCACCTGGGGCGATACCTGACATGCTTGCCCCGAGCTGGCACCGCGTGTTTCCGCGTGCCCAGGCCGCCCAGGGGGGGTATCTAACATGGTGGTCCCCAGCTGGAACCACGTGTCTTCGTGTGCCCAGGCCACCCAGGGCGATACCTGACATGCTTGGCCCGAGCTGGCACCGCGTGTTTCCGCGTGCCCAGGCCGCCCAAAGGGGTATCTAACATGGTGGTCCCCGGCTGGAGCCACGTGTCTTCGTGTGCCCAAGCCACCTGGGGCGATACCTGACATGCTTGCCCCGAGCTGGCACCGCGTGTTTCCGCGTGCCCAGGCCGCCCAGGGGGGGGGCATCTCCAACATGGTGGTCCCCAGCTGGGGCCACGTGTCTTCGTGTGCCCAAGCCACCTGGGGCGATACCTGACATGCTTGCCCCGAGCTGGCACCGCGTGTTTCCGCGTGTCCAGGCCGGGCCGCCCAAGGGGGGGGGTGGCATCTCCAACATGGCGGTCCCCAGCTGGAACCACGTGTCTTCGTGTGCCCAAGCCACCTGGGGCGATGCCTGACATGCTTGCCCCAAGCTGGCACCGCGTGTTTCCGCGTGCCCAGGCCGCCCAGGCCACCCGGGGCGAAACCTGACATGCTTGCCCCAAGCTGGCACCGCGTGTTTCCGCGTGCCCAGGCCGCCCAGGGGGGTATCTAGCATGGCGGCCCCCAGCTGGAGCCGCGTGTCTTCGCGTGCCCAAGCCACCCGGAGCGATACCTGACATGCTTGCCCCGAGCTGGCACCGCGTGTTTCCGCGTGTCCAGGCCGCCCAAGGGGGTATCTAACATGGCGGTCCCTAACTGGAGCCACGTGTCTTCGTGTGCCCAAGCCACATGGGGCGATACCTGACATGCTTGCCCCGAGCTGGCACCGCGTGTTTCCGCGTGCCCAGGCCGACCAGGGGGGTATCTAACATGGCGGTCCCCAGCTGGAGCCACGTGTCTTCGTGTGCCCAAGCCACCTGGGGCGATGCCTGACATGCTTGCCCCGAGCTGGCACCGCGTGTTTCCGCGTGCCCAGCCGCCCAGGGGGTATCCAACATGGCGGTCCCCAGCTGGACCCACGTGTCTTCGTGTGCCCAAGCCACCTGGGGCGATACCTGACATGCTTGCCCCGAGCTGGCACCGCGTGTTTCCGCGTGCCCAGGCCGTCCAGGGGGGTATCTAACATGGTGGTCCCCATCTGGAGCCACGTGTCTTCGTGTGCCCAAGCCACCTGGGGCGATACCTGACATGCTTGCCCCGAGCTGGCACCGCGTGTCTCCGCGTGCCCAGGCCGCCCAGAGGGGGTATCTAACATGGCGGTCCCCAGCTGGAGCCACGTGTCTTCGTGTGCCCAAGCGACCTGGGGCGATACCTGACATGCTTGCCCCGAGCTGGCACCGCGTGTTTCCGCGTGCCCAGGCCGCCCAGAAGGGGGTATCTAACATGGCGGTCCCCAGCTGGAACCACGTGTCTTCGTGTGCCCAAGCCGCCTGGGGCGATACCTGACATGCTTGCCCCGAGCTGGCACCGCGTGTTTCCGCGTGCCCAGGCCGCCCAGGGGGGTATCTAACATGGCGGTCCCCAGCTGGAACCACGTGTCTTCGTGTGCCCAAGCCACCTGGGGCGATACCTAGCATGCTTGCCCCGAGCTGGCACCGCGTGTTTCCGCGTGCCCAGGCCGCCCAGGGGGGTATCTCCAGCATGGCGGTCCCCAGCTGGAACCACGTGTCTTCGTGTGCCCAAGCCACCTGGGGCGATACCTGACATGATTGCCCCGAGCTGGCACCGCGTGCTTCCGCGTGCCCAGGCCGCCCAGGGGGGTATCTAACATGGCGGTCCCCAGCTGGAACCACGTGTCTTCGTGTGCCCAAGCCACCTGGGGCGATACCTGACATGTTTGCCCCGAGCTGGCACCGCGTGTGTCCGCGTGCCCAGGCCGCCCAATGGGGTATCTAACATGGCGGTCCCCAGCTGGAGCCACGTGTCTTCGTGTGCCCAAGCCACCTGGGGCGATGCCTGACATGCTTGCCCCGAGCTGGCACCGCGTGTGTCCGCGTGCCCAGGCCGCCCAATGGGGTATCTAACATGGCGGTCCCCAGCTGGAGCCACGTGACTTCGTGATACCTGACATGCTTGCCCCGAGCTGGCACCGCGTGTTTCCGCGTGCCCAGGCCGCCCAGGGGGGTCTCTAACATGGCGGTCCCCAGCTGGAGCCACGTGTCTTCGTGTGCCCAAGCCACATGGGGCGATACCTGACATGCTTGCCCCGAACTGGCACCGCGTGTTTCCGCGTGCCCCGGCCGCCCAAGGGGGTATCGAACATGGCGGTCCCCAGCTGGAACCACGTGTCTTCGTGTGCCCAAGCCACCTGGGGCGATACCTGACATGCTTGCCCCGAGCTGGCACCGCGTGTTTCCGCGTGTCCAAGCCGCCCAGAGGGGGTATCTAACATGGCGGTCCCCAGCTGGAACCACGTGTCTTCGTGTGCCCAAGCCACCTGGGGCGATACCTGACATGCTTGCCCCGAGCTGGCACCGCGTGTTTCCGCGTGCCCAGGCCGCCCAGGGGGGTACGTATCTAACATGGCGGTTCCCAGATGGAACCACGTGCCTTCGTGTGCCCAAACCACCTGGGGCGATACCTGACATGCTTGCCCCGAGCTGGCACCGCGTGTTTCCGCGTGCCCAGGCCGCCCAGGGGGGTATCTAACATGGCGGTCCCCAGCTGGAGCCACGTGTCTTCGTGCGCCCAAGCCACCTGTGGCGATACCTGACATGCTTGCCCCGAGCTGGCACCGCGTGTCTCCGCGTGCCCAGGCCGCCCAGGCCGCCCAGTATCTAGCCGCCCAGGCCCGCCCAGAGGGGGTATCTAGCGTGGCGGTCCCCAGCTGGAGCCACGTGTCTTCGTGTGCCCAAGCGACCTGGGGCGATACCTGACATGCTTGCCCCGAGCTGGCACCGCGTGTTTCCGCGTGCCCAGGCCGCCCAGGGGGGCATGGCGCGTCCCCAGCTGGAACACGTGTCTTCGTGTGCCCAAGCCCTGGGGCGATACCTAGCATGCTTGCCCGAGCTGACACCGCGTGTTTCCGCGTGCCCAGGCCGCCCAGGGGGGTATCTAACATGGCGGTCCCCAGCTGGAACCACGTGTCTTCGTGTGCCCAAGCCACCTGGGGCGATACCTGACATGCTTGCCCCGAGCTGGCACCGCGTGTTTCCGCGTGCCCAGGCCGCCCAGGGGGGTATCTAACATGGCGGTCCCCAGCTGGAACCACGTGTCTTCGTGTGCCCAAGCCACCTGGGGCGATACCTGACATGCTTGCCCCGAGCTGGCACCGCGTGTTTCCGCGTGCCCAGGCCGCCTAAGGGGGTATCTCCAGCATGGCTGCCCCGAGATGGCACCACGTCCTCACGCGCCCAGGCGGCACGGGGAGGTCTCCAACACGTGGTCGCCTGGCTCGGTGCCTCGCGCGAGGGCCACTGCGCGGCATCGGACCTGCGCGCTCGAGCCAGCCGAGCGCCCCGAGCGCTCCGATGTGCAACTGGCCCGATCATCATCATCATCATCATCATCATCATCATCATCATCATCATCATCATCATCATCATCATCATCATCATCATCATCATCATCATCATCATCATCATCATCATCATCATCATCATCATCATCATCATCATCATCATCATCATCATCATCATCATCATCATCATCATCATCATCATCATCATCATCATCATGATCATCATGATCATCATCATCATCATCTTCATCATCATCATCTTCATCATCATCACCCTCATCCTCATCCTCATCCTCATCCTCATCATCAGCAGCAGCATCATCATCGTCATCATCATCTTCATCATCATCATCATCATCATCATCATCATCATCATCATCATCATCATCATCATCATCATCGTCGGCGTTCAGACAGCTCGAGCTCAACATCCGAAGCAGTTCGGTCAGGATTCTGACGCCAAGGACGGCTTGACCCACAATGCAATAGCGCACGGCACAATTCAACGCGGCATGTCCCCTGGCGCGTCCCCTGGTACGTCCATTGGCACGTTCCGTGGCGTGTCCCTGGCACGTCACTACGCGGCGCGGCACGGCGTAGAGCAGCACAACCCAGCCCTTGGCAGAATATCATCATCATTGATATCTGCAGCATTGCCACTGCCAGTCGCCCAATCGAGATGCTTGGAAACGTTCCCATGCCGCACAAATCCAGAAGTCCCTTTCCGGGTTCGTTGGTCGATCATGATCTCCTCCTCGTCCTCCGCCTCACCTTTCCCAATCTTGAGCATGTTCCTCTTCCTCCTCCTCCCTTGCCTCGCAGGTCTAAATCCTCCTTTCCAGGTTCGTGGGTCGATCACTTCTGTCGCAGAACGCCCCACCCTCTGCGGGGGAAGGAGGCGATCGCAACCCGTCCGGAACGCAAGCCGTCGGGGACCAGGGGCCCGGCCAACCCTTGCCAACAGCATCGGCGGCGAGCGAGGGGGGAGGAAGTGAGAAGGAGCAGGCCTTCTCACAAGCTTTGGAATCCCACGGCCTTCTGAGACGTTTTCTAGACCTTCCCCGAAAACAAGAAAAGCTTCTTAGAAGGCGCGAGGGCCTCTGAGAAGTCTCGCCGCCTTCTGAGAAGGCCTTCTCCTCCTCACTTCCCCTCCTCGCTCGCCGCCGACAGAAACATCACGCTTCACGAGCTCTGATGGGGCGAGGCGGACCTCATCTCCAGCTCATCAGCGGCCGTGCCAGGTGGCTGCCACGGGCACCCAGCTCCCATCGCGGCTGGCGGGTGCGGCGAAGATCGGAGGCGTGGAGGATGAGGGGGGTGGCTGGTCGAGACATAGGCGGCGGCCTTCCTCTTCCTCCTCCTCCTTCTCTTTGACGTTAGGCAAACACGAGGCGGGGCTTGCTGCGTTACTCCTCCTCCTCCTCCTCCTCCTCTTCCTGCTCCTCCCCACACCCTCATTACTCATTCTTACTCATTCTACACCTCGTTCCAGGAGTGGGTGGGTGGGAGAGGGGGCGCCGTCACAAAAGGCCCATGGTGCGAAGAGGTGTGTGGGAGGGGGGATGGATGAGCGTAGTCAAGGCTACGATTAGATACTGTTGTCCTGAGAGACCAAGCCAAATTTCGGGCAAATATTGTGCAATCTCCGGGCCATTAGCTTCACGTAACGTCCAATGCATGAGCAGGGGGTAATGCACTGGGTCATATCCCAAGATGGCGCCGAAGAAACTCCTTGCCAAAACGAAGAAGGACGGATTCATCATGATCCGCGCGGGTGTAAGGCCAGGAGATGAGAAATATGAGAAACTGACGGGGACGGACAGGAAACAATAATAACATTGGAATTAAGGAGAATGAGCGGCAAGGTGGTGGTGAGGGTGAGATCGAGGATGAAGATAAAGGATGCGGGCGAGGGCGCTGAGGTTGCACTTCTCCTGGCGCAGTAGTGGCCACAACAGGTTAGAGCTCCATGCAGGATGCGGGGGTAAGAGGCGCCTGAACTACGGCCAGACCTAGGACAACATACCATCCTTCAAGAACACGAGCCCCTCCGCCGGCCAACACACTACGACCTCGGATGCACAAGAACCCCGAGATGCACGAGAGCCTCCAACAGCACGCGGAGAACGTGAAGATACTCCTCCTCGAACCGACATCGACGCTCGCTTGCTCGCTTTGCCCTGCCGTCGCCTACGTGAAGCTTTGTGGAGCTCGTGTCTTATCGCGCAACTTCACACAGAAGCTACGTGTCTTGACCGCGTCCTGGTATTACCTTGCAAACCGCAGGCTGGCCTCTTCGACGCATCGCGGGACAACTTTGCGCGTGCGTAACGCTGCCATGCGTAACCCAGTGGCTGCAACCCATCGCTGTGTCGGAGGGCAAAAATGCGTGCGCACGCGCGCGCACGCGCGCGCGTGTGTGTGTGTGTGTGTGTGTGCGTGAACTTATGATAGCTGTGTCTAAGCATGTTCGTTATTTTCTGATCCAGGGTGGGAAGAAGAGCCAAGTGCGGCGCAACGAGGGCATGATATTGTCTACGTGTCTACTCGAATCGACTCGCGCACTGCACAGTCAGGCTGGCCCAAATCAAGGGGAGGGCGGCGTACTGCGCGCAGGTAGGCGGGCCCGCCTACGGCAGTGAGGCAACACGGCGAAGGGGAGCTCAGTGTTCAGTGCTTGGTGAAACGATTTTCAAGTTCAGCCCATTCGTTCGGGTTCCGGGCCGCGCTTGTCCAATTTTGGCCGTTCGGCGTTGGACAAACCTCCCTTTAGTAAATCTCCCCTTAGTGAAAACGGCCTGGGACCGAAACCGACGGACCTGGACCCGCAAAAATGACGGTCGCGACGCCCTCTCGCGAACCGAAAACGGCTAATTACTCAATCGACGTGTCAAGGTAGGAGGTCTGTCCAACCCCGAGCCGTACGTGTCTACGAAGCCGCACGTTTTGGCCGTATGTACGTGTCTGCGTGTCCGCGAGGGCGAAAGGCTGTCTCCGTGCGGCCCGAGAGGGTCGAGCACTCCCCCACAGAGGGCCCAGCACCTTCCCGGCATCCCACAGAGGAGGAGGAGGAGGAGGAGGAGGGCGAGGAGGAGGAGGAGGAGGAGGAGGAGGAGGAGGATGTTATTGTCCACGTGTCCACGAGGGATGCCTTCGGGCGGCCCGAGAAGGTTGAGCACGCCCCTAAGAGGGGTCCTGCACCCTCCCGACCTCCCACAGAGGAGCTGGGCCAGTCGGCGTTCCAGCTCTCCCAGATTGACGGGGCCCAAGGACACAAACACAAATACACGCAAATCCCAAGATTCCAAAATTTTCAGGGTTTTCGTCTTCGCTTCAATTTTTCTCTCTCAAACAACAAGATGCGTGCCGGCTTCCTGAAACCACTGAGCGGATTCTTCTTCCTCGTCTTCGCTGCCACTTCCCACGTTATCCCACGTTTTCGGGGGAATCGACGATTCACTGTGTCTCTGTGTGTTTTTTCTTCCCTCCGGATTCCAGCTCTTCCAGCTCCGCCGCCCGTGCCGCGAGGCACGACGTGGAGCGGCGCCACGAGGCTCTCACAGCTGTGCTGCTCACTGCGCTCACCATTGCAGACGCGCTGCAGCGGACTTTTTGGCGTGGATCTCTGCCAATGCAGCATCCCGAAAACGGCGGGAGAAAAACGACGTGAATTTCACGTGGATTTTTTTGGGTAGCCTTCGCTCTTGGCCTCAAACAAAATCCGCACGAGATGCACTTCGAAATCGGGAACGAAACTCTCCAGGACTATCTGGGCCCATCCCATTGTTTTCCGAGCGAAATCCGCTCTGCGGTGTTGGCGCCGTAATGCTGCTGCTGCAGCCAAGATTGCACGTCTTTTGAAGGCCTGGACCCTCTGTTTCCCGAGCTGGCCCTGGGTTCTTCCAATGAGTACTGGGGAGTTTACAGCGAGTCCTCTGGACGCTGTGCCTGTTGTGCTGCTACCTCTGGCCGAATTGTCAATCGGTCAGAGCCGGGACCCTCCACCTTCCGGGCTGGGTTTCACCCGTGAACTTCCAGGGTGTTTACAGCGAGTCCTCTGGATGCTGTGCCCGCTCGCAACGGGCCAACAGAGTTCCGAGAAGCCCGCAGGAGCGTCGTCCAAGAGGCTTCAAGCACGGCCCCAGAGCATTTCAAGACGCCCACGATGGCCTCAAGACCGCCGGGGATGCTTACAAGACGCTTCAGGAGGCCTCCAAGAGACCTCCCAAGAGACACATGTTTAGATTCTCTTAAAAGCTTTAAATGATTCTGGCGTTCTCGCCCTTTCGGGTTCTCGACGCTCCGAGACGGCCCGAGGGGCCTCCAATACATATTCCAAACAACCCAAGAGGCTCCCAGGAGCGCCCCGAGACGGCCCAAGAGGGCCCCGAAACTGCACAAGAGGCTTCACATATGGCTCCGAGCGCCTCAAGAACGGCCGATGCGGGGCTCCAAAGGAGGAGTATGAACTGATACTTTGAGCCCCACGTTTCCAGAAACCCCATGTAGGTGCCAAGAAGCCCCTAACAGGCTCCCAAGAGGCCGCTCACAGGCCCTCAAGAGGCCCGACGAGACCCTCCCCAAAAAACCAGCAGGCCCAAAGAGGCCCCCAAAAGGCCCCCGAGAAGCTTCAACACTGCCCTCAAGAAGCCCACGAGAGCCCTCCGACCCAAGAAATACCCATGCTGACTCTCACCCGCAATCCAAGCACTGCGAAGCTGAAAAGAAACCCGAAGAAACCACCAAACAGCCCCAGAAGGCTCCAGTACGCTTCATATTCTCTCAGACTCCAAAAAAGGCTCCCTAAGAAACTCGAACAAGCATGCACAACGTGCCCTCTTGACGAACCACCGAATTCTGAGAACGCCCCACGGACGCTCCGATAGAATTCCCCCTGAGGTGCCAGAAACAAGCGCCGTGCGAACGGCAGGCCGCTCAAGAAAACCGCACGATGCGCCCACAACGGCCCAGCCAATCCCAAGACACCCCCAATACGGCCCAGAGGAGGTCCCAAGCGGCCTTCACACAACCCCGACAACACATCAAATAAACGTCCACACTACCGCCATGAGAGGGGGCGTGCGAGATGCCAGCGGCCGCTGGCAATCTCAAGTTTGACGGCCTCGGCACTCGAACATCGCCCTGGTATGACGTCACGTTTGTCGCCCTAGCATCCTTGAGCCTATTTCTCTGGTCCTCGGCCCTCCCCGATGTCACCCCATCCACCTCTTCCTCTTCCTCCTCGTCGTCGTCCTCCTCCTCCTCCTCCTCCACAGCCTCGTTCTCCTCCTCGCCTCGCTCCGTTGTCCCCTCTATCATCGATCGCAGCGCTGCCGTGTGATTCGAACTATAAGACAACGTGTAGACTGGCCAGACGGATTTCAAAGGCACTGCCAGCAACGTGGGCGGGGGGAGTCCTCCAAGGCACGCCCTACCACGTAGAAAAAATCAGAGGCTGAGCCTCAGCAGCTGGCACAGACCCGTCCGCTGTCTGTCGCCCAGACCGAGGGAAAGAGAGAGAGAGAGGAAGCGAGAGAGAGAGAGAGAGAGAGCCGAGAAAGAGAGCAAGTGCACATGGATGGCGGACATGAATGACGGTGCCACTTTTCCGACCAGAAGGGGTCAGAACTTTGCGGTCATTGTATCGACTGTTGGGCCCCGGAATTCTCTTCCCGATCAGCACAACACGCCGTCATGGAGCAACTCGGCTTGCTCTCGTGCTGCAATGAGCTTGGCCTCCCGGGCCGCAGAGCTGGTAATGCAACACGTCGCCCAACTTACCCGTGGACTTCGCAACCATAGACTCCAGATGCCCTTTCGCATCCGCCGCGCGCCCCGTCGGCAGACCGCGCACTGGGAAGCGATCACTTTGGTGTGAGTCCGCGGCGCGCCCTTCGCATTCAACGGCGCAACGTCCGCCACGCACTTGCGGCCCCCGTTCTGCGCGACGCATTCTGGGTCGCGACACATCGTGCACGTCCTGCTATGCGCCCCGACACGTTGTTTTTGCCAGCGCCCGTAACAACGCGTCACCCTGTGGCTTATGCTCATCCATCGGCTGGGCGGGAACTCTTTCATGCTCTTTTGGGCCCCACACGGCGAATCAAAACCGCCATCTGGGACGCCAGGCTCTCGGCACTTCGCGGGCCGGTTGCATCTGTTGTGCCCCCAAGCTGTCCATGGCTGTGCCGCTGGATGCTTCTGGGGCATGGTGGCCCAATTCCCGCTGCTGCTGGTTGCCTGGCTTGGTGGCTGAGGAGGGGTGTCGC